CCTTCCTTCCTTCCTTCCTTCCTTCCTTCCTTCCTTCCTTCCTTCCTCTCCCTTCCCACAATATCTTCCTCCTTCCCTCCTTCTTCCTTTCCACAATGTGTGTTTTCCTTCTTTTCTCCCTTCTTTCCCTCCCTCCCTCTCCCTTTCCACAATGTCTTCCTTCCTTCCCTCTCTTCCTTCCCACATTTCCTTCCTTCCTTCTTTCCCTCCCTTCCTCTCTTCCTTCCCACAATATCTTCCTATCTTCCTCCCTCCCTCCCTCTTCCGTTCCACAATGTCTTCCTTTCTTCCTTCCCTCTCCTTTCCCACATTTCCTTCCTTCCTTCTTTCCCTCCCTTCCTTCTTTCCCTCCCTTCCTTCCCAGTTTTCCTCCCTCCCTCCTTCCCTTCCTTCCCACAATGTCTTCCTTCCCTCCCTCCTTGTCTCCAAATTGCAAATGTTTGTCATAAGTCGAGGACTAACTATAGTTGACAAATGCAGGAAAAGAGAACTCCTGATCTAACACAGCCAAGTCCTTTTCCAATTTCCTACAGTGTCCTAAGCCATCATGGGTGAAGCCAGCCAACTATGGTTTATTTAATAAACCATAATTTCCAAAATCGTGTTTCAGGATTCCACATGACCCTGTTTTTAAAGTAACCCTCCTTGATTTGAACTGGAGCTGAATAGCAATAGCACTTAGACTTATATACCGCTTTATAGTGCCTTTCCAACCCTCTCAAAGCGGTTTTACAGAGTCAGCCTCTTGCTGCCAGCAATCTGGCTCCTCGTTTTACCCACCTCGGAAGGACGGAAGGCTGAGTCAACCTTGAGCCTGGTGAGATTCTAACTGCCATAATCGGCTGGATTATTATTGTTATTTTTTAAAATCACCATTTTAGGATCCCCAGTAATATTCTGACTTAAGGATGAGTCATTTGCCTGTTTGATGCTTTCAAATATTACAAGTGGGAAGAAGAGCAAAAAAAATTTTGGGCAGTCAGAGAGAAAAATAACTTGCAATCCTTCTTTAGCCCCATGACCACGGGAAGGATTTGTAATATTCGAAAGACAAATATTATTTCTTGCAGAGTCCAAATTAACGTCTGTTTTTAGTCACGATGCTCTAATTCCACCCAGGACTTTTCATACCTTGGGGGAACAAATTAAATTAGCTTTCAGAGGCTACTTTCAGCCACCTCTTAAAGTGACTCCTCAACACTCATTTATTCCAAAATAGTAGGCTAGGTATATATTTACGGCCACAATTGGAACTAGATATTTCATTGCTGGGGTGAGTTGTGCCTGATTTTATGGCCTTGGTATTTCAGTCAATTGCTGCGGTTGTTAAGTGGATCAGGTGGCCGTTAAGCGAACCCAGCCTTACCACCCTCACCCCCAACTGACTCTGCTTGTGGGAAGGTCACAAATGGTGGCTCGTGTGTTCCTGAGAGGCTGCCACCATTGCAAATACCTGCCAATTGCCAAGCAGCCATATTCTGGTCCCTTGACCAGGGGGATGCCGTGATGGACACAAGTCCGAGGATCGGTTGACCGTCACTTTCTTCAGCGCTGTTGGAACTTCGGTCACTAAAGGAATGATTGTAAGTTGAAGGCTACCTGATAATGTTTCTCAACCTTGGCAACTTGGAAATTGGTGGACTTCAATTCCCAGAATTCCCCAGCCATCATGGTGTTGAAGTCCAGCCCTCTTAAAGCCTGCTTGTTGGGGAATTCTGGGAATTGAAGTCCACCCATCTTAAGGCATGTTGGTTGGAGAATTCTGGGAGTTGAAATCCATCCAGCTTAAAGCA